ATAATATTAACATAAATAAGATTTCTATAATTAGATGTATATATTTGTACACATTTTTATAGTGCTTTAATGTCTTTCTGTCCACTATTTAGTTTCATTGTATTGAAAAGAGTCTCCAGTGCATTCTACAATAATTTTGGGTGATTTATTCCATAGATAGATAGACAGACAGACAGACAGACAGACAGATATGTTGTAATGCATCTCTATGGCTTTGTTTACAGTGTGTGTTTGCTCTATATGTTTGCAGGGCACAGGGAAGGGCAGCCAGGGAGATGCCATGTATGAAGTGGTCAGCCTGCAGAAACATACAGAATGTGCAGCAGGAGCACGTGGCCGCCTGCAGTCTCCCACAGAGGAGGAGGAACCAGAGGAAGGTACGTCACCATCTAGTTTATCAGAGTGCTTTTCTGTGTTTTATGTTTGTTGCCATTTTGAGTTTTTTTTTTATTGAACTGCTTTAAAGGAACCATATTCTACACTTTTGTAGTGTGCTATTTCCCCCCCTTAAAGTCCACTTATAAAGTTACTCAAATTTTTGTGCACCAAAAATCAGGGTCTTTTTGACCATTTTTTCACATTATCTCTAACTTTTAAGATTTAAACAGGCTTTTTGCTGCTGTATATTTAAGGATTTAAGGCTCCGTTACATTGAATAATAAATATTGCTTATATATATAGAGAGAGAGAGAGATCTATTTTATATGAAAATCTATTTTAATATAATTTATGTAAAAAAAAAAAAAAATTTTATTTGTATTTTTTAAATAAATATTTTAAATAAAAATATTTTATTTAGATTTAATTTTTTATATTTATTTATTAATTTTTTCCAAGCTTTAACAGAACACCTTATACAATTAAGGTTTTAACTTTTGCCCCAAGATGACCCTAACTAAATAAAATAAAATGACAAAAACAACAATAAGAATAGACAATTTAAGAAGAATTAAAACAAAACAAAATAAAATGCAAGATAAACTTTACAGTATTGTACACATTTACAAATGAACAATATCATTGTAGGGATAATAATAATAAAAAAAAACTTAGATAATAATACAATTCAGTGCTCTTCATAGTGGTCTTTACAACAACAATTGTTAATCACGTTTAAACCAGTTTCTACAAATCTTTTTGTAATGATCAGTTAAAGGGGAGAGTCTTAATCTTTTCAAAATATGTGATCATAGGTTGCCATGTCTCATACATTTTTTGGACCGATCCCTTCATTAACCCTTTAGGCGCCAGGTATTTTTGATAGATAGACAGACAGACAGACAGACAGACAGATATGTTGTAATGCATCTCTATGGCTTTGTTTACAGTGTGTGTTTGCTCTATATGTTTGCAGGGCACAGGGAAGGGCAGCCAGGGAGATGCCATGTATGAAGTGGTCAGCCTGCAGAAACATACAGAATGTGCAGCAGGAGCACGTGGCCGCCTGCAGTCTCCCACAGAGGAGGAGGAACCAGAGGAAGGTACGTCACCATCTAGTTTATCAGAGTGCTTTTCTGTGTTTTATGTTTGTTGCCATTTTGAGTTTTTTTTTTATTGAACTGCTTTAAAGGAACCATATTCTACACTTTTGTAGTGTGCTATTTCCCCCCCTTAAAGTCCACTTATAAAGTTACTCAAATTTTTGTGCACCAAAAATCAGGGTCTTTTTGACCATTTTTTCACATTATCTCTAACTTTTAAGATTTAAACAGGCTTTTTGCTGCTGTATATTTAAGGATTTAAGGCTCCGTTACATTGAATAATAAATATTGCTTATATATATAGAGAGAGAGAGAGATCTATTTTATATGAAAATCTATTTTAATATAATTTATGTAAAAAAAAAAAAAAATTTTATTTGTATTTTTTAAATAAATATTTTAAATAAAAATATTTTATTTAGATTTAATTTTTTATATTTATTTATTAATTTTTTCCAAGCTTTAACAGAACACCTTATACAATTAAGGTTTTAACTTTTGCCCCAAGATGACCCTAACTAAATAAAATAAAATGACAAAAACAACAATAAGAATAGACAATTTAAGAAGAATTAAAACAAAACAAAATAAAATGCAAGATAAACTTTACAGTATTGTACACATTTACAAATGAACAATATCATTGTAGGGATAATAATAATAAAAAAAAACTTAGATAATAATACAATTCAGTGCTCTTCATAGTGGTCTTTACAACAACAATTGTTAATCACGTTTAAACCAGTTTCTACAAATCTTTTTGTAATGATCAGTTAAAGGGGAGAGTCTTAATCTTTTCAAAATATGTGATCATAGGTTGCCATGTCTCATACATTTTTTGGACCGATCCCTTCATTAACCCTTTAGGCGCCAGGTATTTTTGGAAAAAATGCTGTATTTTGACATCAAGATTTCAAAAGCTTGTGGCTTGAAAGAGCTTACAGATAGAGATTTACTGTAAATTAGAAAAATGTTGGGTATGACCGAAAGTTTATGTGGGGTGTAAATATACTCGTCTAATGTGCATATTATGACGTCATCAGAGGCCATCTTGAATTTCATAATATTCAGGAAATAGTAGATATTGAATTGATGTTTGAACTTATTTGCATGTTTTTTTCTTCTTTTTATCCTCATTCCAAATGATCAGAAAAGAGGAAACCAACAATAAAACAGGAGAAAGTGCTAAATTATTACTATATTACTATACTATATAGTAGTAAAATGCATGTGAACAGTAGCCTACTTTTTGATCAGTAATATTCAGGAAATAATAGATATTGAATGGATGTTTGAACTTATTTGCATGTTTTTTTTTTTGTCTTTTTATCCTCATTCCAAATGATCAGAAAAGAGGAAACCAACAATAAAACAGGAGAAAGTACTAAATTACCAACAGGCTCATCAAAGCATTTGATCCGGTCCTGATACACTTCTTCATTTCTCAAATAAACCCAGCCGGAATACAAATGAGATATTTCACCATATTAGGAAATACAGACTATTTTATTAAGTATGACATCTTGTCGCAATTTTGCGACTTTGCCGCTAAGAGGGTTAAATATTTAATTTTCTCTCATTTCAAATAGATTTAGATTTATTAACCTTATATGTATTAACTTGTTAACATGTATAACATGTATGTTGAGATTTTAATTTTGAAATAAAGAAATTCAGACTTCAGAATAATTGTACATTTTTCTACAAAAATACATATTTTTAATTATTATTTTTTGACTTTTTTTATGATCAGATAGTAAATGAACCTGTTAAAGTAATTTAATTTCCATGTGAGTTTGCAGACTTGCCCCACTTACCCCCATCCATTCTCACAAATACAGGAAAAATGACCATCTCTGAGCTTATTCAGATCTCTTTTCAGAGCGAGAGGGAGTGTATGTATGTATGTATGTACATGCGGACATAAAAAGAACAGATTGCCTTGCCAGCAAAGCTGTAGCAGGTCCATTTGTTTTGCTGTTTTTTTCCTTTATATGTCAATGCTAACACATCAAGTGAATGAGATCATCCGTCCAGATTTTTTCCACCACCAAATTTGAACATGATCAACATTCGCTCGCCTTGCGTTTTCCTGCCTGCGGTGTGGCAGCACGAATCCATTGCAAGCTTTAATTTAGTCTCGGCCGGTAGCTCTAGGTGAAGTGTTTCAGCTGTATGTCTTTTTCACGAAGTGGAGACGGCCTGTGTTTTTGACAGGGTGCCACAAGCCTGAGATGTGAAACCCTGGCGGCTTTCAAGTGGTTATCAGCGCCCATTTCAGAAGAATGGATTCCAATTTGGTTAAGTGGTATTGGCTCTCGGGCTCTGTGTGTCATCTGACCACCTGGAACTGGCCGGTTTTTCTTTTTTCTTCTGTTGTCTTCGGTTCTGCTCAATTGATTTGAACATGGAGTAATGATTACATGGGTTTGAGTAGCATGTTAAATATCACTTAAAGGACAATTCTGTGTTATTTACTACCTAATGTCCGTGAACGATTTGATAGTTGTGTGTTTGAACTGTTTACTGTATTTGCAGGGCTTATTGCTTGCTAGGCGTCCATTCTGGCACAAATGTTGTCTGAATATTCGTCAAACGTTGCACGATTCCAATTGTGGTATTGGCTCTCGGGCTCTGTGTGTCATCTGACCACCTGGAACTGGCCGGTTTTTCTTTTTTCTTCTGTTGTCTTCGGTTCTGCTCAATTGATTTGAACATGGAGTAATGATTACATGGGTTTGAGTAGCATGTTAAATATCACTTAAAGGACAATTCTGTGTTATTTACTACCTAATGTCCGTGAACGATTTGATAGTTGTGTGTTTGAACTGTTTACTGTATTTGCAGGGCTTATTGCTTGCTAGGCGTCCATTCTGGCACAAATGTTGTCTGAATATTCGTCAAACGTTGCACTTCCTAAACAGCTGAACAAAGAAACAGTGTTACATTGTTTAATACCAGCAAATATAGTTTATAGTTTATGTATGTATTAGGGCTGTCGCGATTCGTGGATTTTATTCGACTATTCGATTTAAAAAAATCCTCGACTTCATTTTGCTCGCGTCGACTAACCGGCAAAATACCGGAAGTGGCGCATTTCACTGACGAGAATTCATAAAACACATTATTAGACTGTTTCTCAAGGCTGCATGATATATTAAACCCATAATTGTGCATAATTGTGAGTTCACAAACGCTACGATTTAATTAAATAATTATATGCGATGCAGTTCTAATACAGTATATGCGCTTTAATTATTTACATGCGTGTAGGTTAAGTACGTGTCACACAGCGGCTCCGTTCACAGTAGTTCCACAGGAACTGTTATCATTTACATGTGTGGTGCGTCTCAAACTCCATCTCTGCATGTTGTTGTGAGTTTGGGTTTATTATAACGTTCATCTGGGAACGCAACATGCGCCATTTCATCAGATTTGTAAGGTAAATCATT